AAGTTATTCTGTTTGTATCTATTGGCTTTATATTTTAGCTTCTGCATTTAGGTCTTCAATCTGTCTGGACTTTTTTACAGCAGGTAAGATAAGCATATAATTTCATTTCTTCCCACAGTCTCACTAAGGCAACTTTCTCACATCACATACAAAAAAAAAAAAGAAGGAAGAAGTTCATCTTTCCTCTTAACTTGTAAAGCTACTTCACTCATAAATCAGCCACGAGTGTGTGTTTCTCCACTCGGTGTTGAACTCCATGATCTGTTTGCCTGTTCCTGTGCCAGTGCCAGGCTTTTTAATCATTATGGCTTTGCAATATCACCTGGGGTAGAACGAGTCCCTCTTTTTACTTTTTTCAAACTGATTTAGAAAATCGGTGTTTATACTTCCATATGACTCTTAGAATCATCTTGTCGATCTTCAAAAAAAAACCCCTGGAATTTTGATTGTTCTATTTTAAAATTTATAATTTGTGGGAGAACTGACATTGTTACAATATTAAGTTTTGCATCCATAAACAGAATATTTCCCTTTATTCGTTCACATTTGATCGTATTCCCATAGGATCATAAACTGTTTTCTATTAAAGTCCTGTATCTTTTTTGTTAGATGACTTTGTGGGATTTGTGGTTGTTAGAAATTTCATTTTCGGGATGACTTCACTGAAATCTGTTACTAGTTCCTTGGTTTGACTGTTCATTGATTCTCATTATTTACATACGTTTGTAATCTCCAAATAGTAATTTTCGTCTTTTGCTCTCCGTCTTTATCCTTGTTTCTCTTGTGTGACTTCATTGGCCGGGACCTCTGGTCCTTCACTAGGCAGGCAGCAGTGGTGATAGTGGTCACCTGTATCTTCTACCCTCAAAGGGAAGTTTCTCCATTAAGCATGATTTTTGCTGTAGATTTTTAGAGGACAGCCTCTGCCAGAGTGAGGAAGTTCTTCTCAATTCCTACCTTTCCAAGAGCTTTCATTATAAATGGGTATTGAACTATACTCAATATTTTCTCATATCTATTGAGATTATCATGTTATTTTTTCCCCTTTCATTCATGAATGTGGTCAACTTAACCGGTTTCTTTTTAAAGCAGAACTATCTCAAGTTCCTGGGGTCAACACCACTTGATGTAATATACTTAATCAGCCTGATATTTCACTGAGTTTTATACACTCATGAGTCAAAATGGTACCTACGGTTTTTGTTCTTGTACAAGTCCTATCTGGTTTTGGTATAAAGATTACACGATAAATCATAAAATGAATGAGACAGCTTTCCTTATCCTCCTCTTTTTCTGAAATAACTTGTAAATATAGAAATTATCTGATCCTTAAAGTTTAGTGTATCTTACCTATAAAACCATCTTAGCCTGAGGCTTTTGAGTGGTGAGTGGTAAGTGGTAAGTTACTGTTCTTTAGAGAACAGTGTAGTCATTTATATTTTTCTAGACATATATCTACTTCACCTAGGTTTTCAAATGTACTGATATATAGTTGTTTATATTATTTTAAATCTGTTATATCTTTATTCCTTTTTTATTCCATATTTTATTTTCATCTTTTCTATATTCTTCATGATCAAACTTTGACATTAAACTAATCAGACCTATTTTATATGTTAAAATTACATGGGAAGCATTGTAAAATAAAAAAAAAAGTTATATAGATATGTACGTATAATATAAATGTTCTAAAATTCTGAAAATTCTGACATGTCTTTGTATAATCCCAACTTACAGTCTTTTTCTGTCTCTGAAAGTTATAAATCTTATGTCTTTGCAATGTAAACACTCAGGAACAACCAAAATATTGCCCACAAAGACTGAAGGAAAAAAAGACCTTTTTAAAATAGAGACTACTGTATAAGTTCTGTTGCCAAAATTTGTAAAGGAGCTATGG